ATATATATATATCATGAAATATTTATTACGTAAAAGAATAATAATATTTTAATTTGTTAAAAAGTAAAATTAAAATATTAAAACTTAAAAAAATAAGTGATAGAAGTTATAATTTTTATATGTGAGTATGTTATTCCTTTTTTTCTCTTCATCTCTTTAAAAGAGAAAACTAATGAAAAACTTAAGATGAGAAAATAAAACATCAATATAAGTTATTTATTAATTATTTTTAATGTCTAATTCTTTCGATATATTTTATTTTTAAAAAATTAGAAACTACTCTATTAAAATAAAGATTTATTGTTCATTAATTATTTATATATCTATTTTTTTTTTACTTAAACATTTCTAAATCAAGTTATTGCATAGAATCGAACATTACGAACTAACATAAATAAATTAAAATATGCTTACTGATTTTGTTTTTGGATTAATAAAATTCGATAAATTAAAGAATAGAAATATAAAACACGTTAATTATTGTACCGATGATTTGAACATTAACTAATGCCGCAGTTGGTCCAAAAACATTTAATTATTGGAAAATTATTAAAAAAAAATTCTTAAACCAGATTTAATAATTATATTATTAAGTTTTGGTAAAGCACGTTTTACAAGTACGCGGGCTGATAGTCTGCAAAATTTGATTATTGGACCGTAAGCACTACTTTTTGATGAGTAAACTTTGATATTAAAAGGAATCTCTTCACTTGATTAAAGAAAAAACCATTGAATAAGAGCTGACCGAAAGAACTGTAAAAAAGAGAGAGAATTGTGGATGCCCTTGTGCTAATAGCTGACCGCCGGGCAGGACATAATAGAGAACACTGATTGGGTTTTGGCGCCAAGTTTTCAGCGTATTGGGATTATCAACAGCTAATACTAATACTAATAGAATAATAATAATGAATCCTATGTTATTATCCTTGTGCTTGAAGTGCTTAAAAAAGCTTCATGCGTATTAAAGCACTTTTCTTTTTTCTGTATAATTTTTCATTCGGGGGCCCTTTCTGAACACTTGCTTTTGATTTTGAAAATCAAAGGAAAAGTTTTTTTTTCTAAAGAAATTCCATATGCAACCAGAACTTTGAATTATTGACTGATGTTTTTCATTTCAGCATATTCCTTACAAGTTACAAGTTGTCACCCATATAGTGTTATACAGCATGCTCACTTTAGTTTTTCAAATTTCACAGCTTTTGCCAGTGAAACACTCAAAATCTTTGTTTTTAACTCCTAAACGTTTTTATTTACTATTTTCTATATAAGATAAAGTTTTATTATGTATTTTTACATCTACTTATAAGAAATAACTTTATTATTTTTATTTTATGGAATTATTTGATAAACACAATTATTTATCTATAATTCATACACTACTAAAAAACGACATATTACATTAGTTATTTAACACATATTACATTGGTTTTAAAATTGTTTTAGATCCCATTGTTGTATTAAAACTGAAAACATTTTATGTTGATAACTTTTCAACCAATGTAAAATTGGTCTTTGACACTTTCGGCATTGACCACTTGACATGTTAAATTCTCATGTATCTCTGACTTCCTTTCATTCATAGATGACACTATTTTCATTAGCTTCAAAACATTTTTCATCATTGACATGCTCATATTCAAAGTGCAAAGAGGCAGATATAGATTTATATATGACAACATGGTTCCCTTATTGGAGAGCGACCAATAAAGAAGGGGAGTGAGGCGAGTTGAGGTAGGAGAGTGAGATAGTCAAGAAATAACAATGACACAAATATTGATTTAATTATCGATAATAACGATGACAACTCCTTCGCACAACAGTGGCGATGATTAGGGTTCAACACGAGGAGATGAAACATCGTGCCTCCTTTGCATAGCATCGATGACACCTCCTTTACACAACAATGATGGCAACTCCTTCACATAGCAGTGGTGGCAGCTAGGGTTCAACATGAGACGGTTAAAGGTCACGCCTCCTTTGCACAACAACGAGAACAACAATGATGCAATGTGAAGGCTTCTAATGCGGTGACACCTCTTTCCCAACAATAAAGGTTAAGTGAATGATAATGGAGAAGAGAGAACAAGAGAACATAGACGAGAAGAGACGAGAGAGGACAAAAAGCTTTAGAAACAAAAGGGAAGAGGACACGAATGAATTAAAAGTTATACTACATCAATTCTACACAATAAGAGTTTAGTATCGTTTTTTTAATTAAAAAAATAACATATTGTATTGTATGATCGTTCGGTCAGCTTAGGACCAAACGGCCTCTTCAATCAATAACACCTAACAAATCAGTCAGTCAAGTAACATGAATCGAACGATCGATCTTAAATGAAAATTTGGATTAAAGACGACTATCTTAAACCAAAACACGATCATTACCACTTGAACCATAAGTAGGACAATGCTAATTCGAAGCCCATTCTGAAATATGTAAATACAAGTTTAAGATATCTTGGTAGGTTCGTTACATTTAAGCCACATTTATTGCTATATTGTGGAATTTGTAATGACCTTGACATCAAAATATCTTTACATGTAACCTCCTAGTACAACTGAATAGCAATCGGAGTGAAATGAATGACGAACGGTGACCTATGCAAGGAATTAGACGAACAAAGTTGGGAGAATTGTTAACCTTAATTCCACAAACCAAAACACATATTAATATGTTTTTTTATTTCTTTTTAAATTTCAAGAGATATTATATCGATTAAACCTGACAACAATGTAATATGATTTTCAGTATTTACAAAATTGTTATCGTACAATTTTTCACATCATTCTTTCATAAATCAACATAATATCATCTTGTTATATCTCTATTTTACACTAGTAATACTTTCTTAATTTTCCTAGCAATGATATAAGATTAATATTGAATAAATCCTTTGATAGATTTGGTGCTCAAAACCTATCAAAAACACTTCAACATTTTAACACTAAGCACCTTCTTCTTAAAATCTTTGTCAAGTCCATTAAAATGATTTATGATATATTAAACATTTGTTTTTACACATATAAACTAATTTCACCTTGTAGCAAAGGAAACATCTCATGTTCTTATACTAGATTATGTTTTCTTGTTTGTTGTCCAAATTAATCTTTACCAAGTGGAATACAAGACCAAGTTTTTATTATTACTTTTGGTTTAGGTTATTATCTCATGAAATTAGAAAAACTTACTAAAAAACAAAACAAATAGATGTGAATTTTAACTACTACTATTTGTATTTGTCTGGTAATTTATTAACGTAAAATTTAGTGTCATAAAAGTATGTTGATGCGATATAATTGTGAGAATAATCGCCGGCTAGTATAGAAGTTGAAATTAGAATTTAAATATTTATTTGATATAGATGAAAAACTTATGACTGAATATGAAATGGAGAAAATTAATATGTATTAGGGTTGATGATAAACTGAAACTTTAAATGAAAATCAAATTTGAAAACGACTAAAGAGAAAAATAACCTAACAGATAGAGAAAATCATCTCACAAGAAAAAAAAAACACTTACAAAAGAAAATTGTGCGAGAAGATGATGGAAAAAAAGAAGAATAACTTTGGAAAAAAAAGAAGACAATTTTAAAAAAAATTATTGAGGTCATTTTTAATGTTTTCAACTCTACTGAGAAATTCTTAAACTTGTTTTTTTATATATTATATATCAAGGAATTGACTCATTTGATAAAGTTGTATAGCACTAATGAAAAAGAAAATGTGTTAAAAAACTCGGACCATTTTTTTAAGAATTTGAACTTAAGTTGCAAACATCTTATATAGAACAGTATAACTATTGTGGCCTTGATGTTAATATTCTATTTAAAAATTAAAATTATTAAACAGATAAGAATTAAATTTCATAGTATTAAGTTCTTTGAAGATCTTTAATAATTTTCATAATGGATGACACCTATATAATAATTCATTATATCACAAGTTAAATTAAATAATATTTTAGTCTCGATAAAAAAATAATTTGCTTTCAATGAACATTGATAATGTTATTTACAATTTTACAGAGAAAAATACAAGGAAAATAATGTTTCAATAATCACCAATATATTATTTTCTCTTATATTTTTAGAAAAAATACAAAAAAAAAATTATCAAAAATTCTATCTCAAATTTTAGATTTTAAGTTTAAACCTTCTATTATTATTTATTCAAAAAATTTAATTTTAAATTTTGATGGATCTCAATTGAATTATATTTTAAAAGATGTGATGCAATTTTATCATTTATGTTAGGATGTATTAACTACGTTAACTAATGTGTTATATTTTAGTCCATGATTTTTCTTTTCAATTTTTAATTTCTTTTTAAATTAACATGTGTCAAATGGAAATCTTGTTACATGATAGAGATAATGTGATGTGATCATGATAGTGTCACATATTATTGCTGGTGAAAAAAACTGTGAAAAATCTTAATTTAATTCATGTATTTATTAGTTTGTCACAATTTAGTTTTAATTTTTTTTAAATAAAATAATTTCATTTCTTTTATGATCAAATTTAACTTCTATATAAATAATATTTTATTTGATACTTTTATTAAATATTTTTAACAAGTTTATTTAAATTTATATTTTAGATTGAACTTTATTTAAATTTTTTTTTCAAATATTTATATATTAATAATTTCTATACAAATGTTAGAATTGATTTAAAAGTAATAATTTTATAAATTAAAATTAAAATTTGGCTTAAATACTTATTTCGTTCCTATGTTAAGAGGTGAATTTATGTTTAATATCCGGTTTTAAAAATGAATCTTTTGAGTCCCAAAATTGTAAAAATTGTATAAATAAAGTCTCTTCCGTTGAATTAACATAAACGGAATTAACTTTTTTTCTCTTTCATCTGGGTTATGCCATCTTTTTCTCTCTCTATCTTTCTCTTTTTCTCTCCCCATTACCCATTCCCAACCAACACTTTTGCAAGCCACCATGCAACCACTTCCATTGTCGGGACATTTTGCTGGACACTATAATATCCATTAAGGGTCATTGCATCCGAGCTGAGATTATCCTAAAAGAACGAAAGCATGAGTTACAAGAAGCATAACAATTTTCAACATATCAAATGCACTCTAGATTTATAAAAACTAAAATAGATCAAGATTGGAATGTAGGTAACACAAACCATTTGCTGCAGGCTATCTTGAGCATTAACAAGTATAACATCCTGCTCTAATTGTGCCTATAAAAGAGATTTTCAAATCAATTTCCTAATCTTCACAAAAGCCAAAATAACTTATATGCAGATCAGCCACAAAAATCAGAACGCACCTTTCTTTTCCTAGTTGCATTCCTCTTTTTATTTGGTTTCAAAGCAAGAGGACCTTGATTTTCTTCTGCTTCACGAAAGCCATAGGCATTCCTGCTAGTTTCTGCACCATTGTTATTACAATTATTCACCAGTACACAGTTCTTCAAGGCGTCAACTGTCGGAACTATCGGTACCGTTATAGAGTCGCGTAACGGAATAAAATACTCGGAAAGCGTGTTACAGTCACAAATCAAGTTATGATGGTCCGTTTTAGAAAACCAATTTTCTTAGAGAAAATTTAACAAACAATAGATGTGCATAAAACAGTAACGAGTGTAAGGAATAGAAAAGTTGACACATTGGATTTTTATCCTGGTTCGATTCAAAAGAATCTACGTCCAGTTGTTAATCACTATAAAAAGTGATCAACGATTTCACTAAAATCAGTTTCAACAAAATACAATTAAGAGTGAATAAAAACAGAAAGATAAAACCTTCCTTCGACCAACGAAATGGAAGCAAGCAATCTACACTTTCCTTCGACTGACGAACCAGATCAGTGCAGAACAGTTCTTCCTTCGACCAACGAACCGGAAGAACAGTAGCGTTGCCAACTCGAAGAGAAACGCTCCGACCTTTGACCCACAAAGCATGAGCTTCTCCTTTTCACGAGACTAGGCAGTGCAATGAACTAGCTTATGGAACTTCCTCATATCACACTGTATTCTCAGAAGCTCAGTATACTTTCTAAGAGTTTTGGAACTCACCTATATAGCCAACTGGTCTAAGTTCGCAAAGATGAATTATAACTGTCGCAGATAATCGATTATTGTTAGTGATAATCGATTATTCGAGTCCGTTACAGGGTTTTCAAAAAGTGATAATCGATTATTTGGAGTAATAATCGATTATTCCAGAGGAACGAGGTTTTTCAAAAGGGCTCAGGATAATCGATTATAGCTTCTAATAATCGATTAAATGCGTAGCAGTTCTAAAAATTCGAATTTTTCTAAGTATTACATGTTTAAGGCTTTTCCTAATACATTTATAATCTACAAATTGTTTTTAAAACAACTATAACAATGTATCATCTTTCAGCATCATCAAAATCATTTATCTTCAAATTTACCAATGCTCTTCATTGGTAACAATCTCCCCCTTTTTGATGATGATCAAAAATCACTTTTTAAAAGCATCTTTGGGTTATCTGCAAAAGATACAAACTGACAGACAACAGTAGGAGTTAGTAGTAATTGCACATATTTCTCCCCCTTTTTGATCATAAGCAAAAAGAGTGATAATGTTCCCCCTTAATATGAGCTCCCCCTTAATATGAGCTCCCCCTTAATATGAGCTCCCCCTCAATTAAACAATGTATGTACTAAAACAACAGATCATTTTATTCAGGAAAACATTAAAGATTACAAGGACACATAAAGCAAGACATGAATATGATAAAACATTCTAGGAATTCAAAACAAACAAACATGAAAGCACACTAATCATAAAATCCTAAATCTAAAATTCAGGACTTGGTGGTCTCTTTGGAAGTTGGAGATTAAAGTGATTTTCAATGTTTCTAATGCGAGTATCAAGGTCATTGAACTGGTCGATCACAAATTCTTCATGATTTTGTTGCCATTCATATATTTGTTCAAAGTGAGTTTGTTGAAAGAGACGCATATCCCCCAGTTGTTTTGACAGGTTTGCAAAATGCTCCTCCATAGTCAGGGATGAATTTGAAGGCATGTGAGAAGGACCAGCATCAGCAGAGGTAGCAGTTGGGACTAGATCAACCATATGGGCGTCCATATCATCATTGGCATTTTCGTGGTGATCATCATCCTTGTGAATGATCACACGGCCACGAGCAACAAAACTCATTTGGCGAAATGTTGTCTCACCAATTTCAGTGCCAATTGCTTGAATGGAGGTAGTGAGTTCGCCGTCCACACTTACACCTTTGTATTCTAAAATTCGAGAGATGAGAAGTGCATATGGAAAATGATAAGAAGAGTATTTCTTGGCCTTTACCATTGTGTCGAAGATAAGGGCTGGCCAATCAATGTGGATGTGATTTAAAAGCCCATATAGTAGTAGAAGATCTTGCTCCGAGCATTGAGCATGGTTAGTGGCACGAGGACATAGGATCCATACAATTAAGTAATGAGTCATCCTTTCTTCAACCTTGAATCCACCCACAAGCAGTTGTCGACGATTGATTTGTTGTTCAGGATGGCGTAAAAAAGATTGAAAGGCGAGGAGACGATTGAAGTCCGGAACTCCAAGATGGACTTTGACAGCATCATCCCATAGTNGTTGTCCAAATTAATCTTTACCAAGTGGAATACAAGACCAAGTTTTTATTATTACTTTTGGTTTAGGTTATTATCTCATGAAATTAGAAAAACTTACTAAAAAACAAAACAAATAGATGTGAATTTTAACTACTACTATTTGTATTTGTCTGGTAATTTATTAACGTAAAATTTAGTGTCATAAAAGTATGTTGATGCGATATAATTGTGAGAATAATCGCCGGCTAGTATAGAAGTTGAAATTAGAATTTAAATATTTATTTGATATAGATGAAAAACTTATGACTGAATATGAAATGGAGAAAATTAATATGTATTAGGGTTGATGATAAACTGAAACTTTAAATGAAAATCAAATTTGAAAACGACTAAAGAGAAAAATAACCTAACAGATAGAGAAAATCATCTCACAAGAAAAAAAAAACACTTACAAAAGAAAATTGTGCGAGAAGATGATGGAAAAAAAGAAGAATAACTTTGGAAAAAAAGAAGACAATTTTAAAAAAAATTATTGAGGTCATTTTTAATGTTTTCAACTCTACTGAGAAATTCTTAAACTTGTTTTTTTATATATTATATATCAAGGAATTGACTCATTTGATAAAGTTGTATAGCACTAATGAAAAAGAAAATGTGTTAAAAAACTCGGACCATTTTTTTAAGAATTTGAACTTAAGTTGCAAACATCTTATATAGAACAGTATAACTATTGTGGCCTTGATGTTAATATTCTATTTAAAAATTAAAATTATTAAACAGATAAGAATTAAATTTCATAGTATTAAGTTCTTTGAAGATCTTTAATAATTTTCATAATGGATGACACCTATATAATAATTCATTATATCACAAGTTAAATTAAATAATATTTTAGTCTCGATAAAAAAATAATTTGCTTTCAATGAACATTGATAATGTTATTTACAATTTTACAGAGAAAAATACAAGGAAAATAATGTTTCAATAATCACCAATATATTATTTTCTCTTATATTTTTAGAAAAAATACAAAAAAAAAATTATCAAAAATTCTATCTCAAATTTTAGATTTTAAGTTTAAACCTTCTATTATTATTTATTCAAAAAATTTAATTTTAAATTTTGATGGATCTCAATTGAATTATATTTTAAAAGATGTGATGCAATTTTATCATTTATGTTAGGATGTATTAACTACGTTAACTAATGTGTTATATTTTAGTCCATGATTTTTCTTTTCAATTTTTAATTTCTTTTTAAATTAACATATGTCAAATGGAAATCTTGTTACATGATAGAGATAATGTGATGTGATCATGATAGTGTCACATATTATTGCTGGTGAAAAAAACTGTGAAAAATCTTAATTTAATTCATGTATTTATTAGTTTGTAACAATTTAGTTTTAATTTTTTTTAAATAAAAAAATTTCATTTCTTTTATGATCAAATTTAACTTCTATATAAATAATATTTTATTTGATACTTTTATTAAATATTTTTAACAAATTTATTTAAATTTATATTTTAGAATGAACTTTATTTAAATTTTTATTTCAAATATTTATATATTAATAATTTCTATACAAATGTTAGAATTGATTTAAAAGTAATAATTTTATAAATTAAAATTAAAATTTGGCTTAAATACTTATTTCGTTCCTATGTTAAGAGGTGAATTTATGTTTAATATCCGGTTTTAAAAATGAATCTTTTGAGTCCCAAAATTGTAAAAATTGTATAAATAAAGTCTCTTCCGTT